GATTCAGATGTGAGATGCTGATTCCCTCGGCTCAGGCTCAGAGTGGCCTTGGTCCTGCTCTTTTCTCCGACACAGCGACTGAAGAACATTCAGTTCTTTACTCATTCATAGTCCTGGTTTAGCAGTAATCATGAAGAGGTCTCATGGTCTCTCCCATGGTCTCCCTCTGCTCTCTCTCTCTCTCTGCTCTCTTTCTGTATTGTGTCTCTGCAGTCTCTCTTTTGTCTCTCTGTGGTCTGCTGTCTCTCTAGTCTCGCTCTGGTCTCTCTTTTTGGTCTCTCTTCTGATCTATCTTTCTGATCTCTCTCTCTCTCTCTAGTCTCTTTCTGGTCTCTCTTTCTTATCTCTGTCTTTGGTCTCTCTCGCTCTGGTGTCTTTGGCTTTTCGGCAAAGTTTCTGCAGTTCTATGATGCAGCGTTTGAATGAGTTTCACCAGAACAGAGCTGCGCCATGCAAGAGTCTGGATGTTGAAATACACGGAATATTTAATACACAAAACTTCAGATATAAATGTAACCAAGAGACACCAGGGAGAGACAAGAGAGAGACCTGAGAGAGACCTGAGAGAGACCTGAGAGAGACCTGAGAGAGACCTGAGAGAGACGAGAGAGAGACCTGAGAGAGACAAGAGAGAGACCAGAGAGAGACCAGAGAGAGACAAGAGAGAGACAAGAGAGAGACCAGAGAGAGACCAGAGAGAGACCAGAGAGAGACCAGAGAGAGACCTGAGAGAGACTAGAGAGAGACTAGAGAAAGACCATAGAAAGACCAGACTGAGACCAAAGAGAGACCGGAAAAAGACCAGACTTAGACCAGAGTAAAAACTGAGACCGGAAAGAGACCAGGGAGAGACCAGAAAGAGCCACAGTAGGAGACGGTTTCTTCAAACGCCGCACAATCGGCGCTGAAACTAAGACAAAGACGACAGCAGCTTACAAGACCCCGAGGAGCGCTGCTTTCTCCTCTCAGAGATCGCAAATGCCGCCTCCCTGGTGCTTTCTGGTCCGTCCGGCTGTGTCCAGACCAGAACAATGGGACCGACACAAACACAGAGATTAAGACCTCGGATCGTTACGGACCATGTGGATTACACGACTTCTCCATGAAGCAGCCAGCTCTGAAAAGGCTAAACCAGGATTTATACAAATGTCAAATGGTTTACGAGTCTGGAATCCGCCGTTTGGGTTTTGGTGCAAAGCGGTTTTGTTAGAAGCAAAGTTATGATCTCTGCACAAAAGGAACAAGCGGCAGTTTAATCACAAAAACATGAAACTGAAAAATATTTGGGTCCAAGATTAAACTATTAAATCTGTCCAGTTGCAGACGTTCAGCTCAGGGTAGAGTTTGTAGTCTCTCTCTGGTCTGTATCTCGACTTTCTCTGGTTTCTCTGTGGTCTCTCTCTGGTCTCTCTCTTGTCTCTCTCTTCTCTCTCTCTGGTCTCTCTCTGGTCTCACTGTGGTCTCTCTCTCTGGTCTTTTTATGGTCTCCCTCTACTCTCGTTCTGGTCTTTCCCTACTTGCTCTCTGGTCTCTCTTCTGTCTTTCTCTCTGGTCTCTCTCTGGTCTCTCTCTCTGGTCTCTCTCTGCACTCTCTCTCTGGTCTCTCTCTGGTCTCTCTCTGGTCTCTCTCTCTAGTCTCTCTCTGGACTCTCTGTGCACTCTCTCTCTGGTCTCTGTCTGGTCTCTCTCTGGTCTCTCTCTCTAGTCTCTCTCTGGACTCTCTGTGCACTCACTCTCTGGTCTCTCTCTGGTCTCTCTCTGGTCTCTCTCTCTAGTCTCTCTCTGGTCTCTCTCTGGTCTCTCTCTCTAGTCTCTCTCTGGTCTCTCTCTGGTCTCTCTCTCTAGTCTCTCTCTGGTCTCTCTCTGGTCTCTCTCTCTAGTCTCTTTCTGGTCTCTCTCTGCACTCTCTCTCTGGTCTCTCTCTGGTGTCTCTCTGGTCTCTCTCTCTAGTCTCTTTCTGGTCTCTCTCTGCACTCTCTCTCTGGTCTCTCTCTAGTCTCTCTCTAGTCTCTCTCTGGTCTCTCTCTCTGCACTCTCTCTCTGGTCTCTCTCTGGTCTCTCTCTGGTCTCTCTCTCTGCACTCTCTCTCTGGTCTCTCTCTGGTCTCTCTCTGGTCTCTCTCTCTGGTCTCTCTCTCTGCACTCTCTCTCTGGTCTCTCTCTGGTCTCTCTCTGGTCTCTCTCGGGTCTCTCTATGGTCTCTCTCTGGTCTCTCTCTGGTCTCTCTCTGGTCTCTACATTGACATACTATTACAGGACTGACACAGGAGCTTGCAGAGCGTCAGAGCCACATGTTTAATCCTTACTTCCTGCTTTGAGCCTGAATGATCCAAACACAGCCTCAGGTCTGTGTCTGAGCAGGGACCGTGTTGAAAAAGGGAGAGAAGTGGATTTTGCAGAACCCGTCTGTGTTGATAAACCATCGTGCGCCGCTCTGCTGTCGTCTCTGGTTTCTGTAACTCGGTCAGAGAAATGCTGAAGCTGCAGATTCGTGGTCACCTTCAAACGTTGCGGCGGCAGTGACCTGTAGGGGGCAGCGAGGTCCACTCTGTCCTGGTCCAGAAGGAAACCAGAGCCAGCAGTGACCTGTAGGGGGCAGCGAGGTCCACTCTGTCCCGGTCCACAACGAAACCAGAACCAGCAGTGACCTGTAGGGGGCAGCGAGGTCCACTCTGTCCTGGTCCAGAAGGAAACCAGAGCCAGCAGTGACCTGTAGGGGGCAGCGAGGTCCACTCTGTCCCGATCCAGAACGAAACCAAAACCAGCAGTGACCTGTAGGGGGCAGTGAGGTCCACTCTGTCCTGGTCCACAACGAAACCAGAACCAGCAGTGACCTGTAGGGGGCAGCGAGGTCCACTCTGTCCCGGTCCAGAACAAAACCAGAACCAGCAGTGACCTGTAGGGGGCAGCAAGATCCACTCTGTCCTGGTCCACAACGAAACCAGAACCAGCAGTGACCTGTAGGGGCAGCGAGGTCCACTCTGTCCTGGTCCAGAAGGAAACCAGAACCAGCAGTGATCTGTAGGGGGCAGTGAGGTCCACTCTGTCCTGGTCCACAACGAAACCAGAACCAGCAGTGACCTGTAGGGGGCAGCAAGGTCCACTCGGTCCCGGTCCACAACAAAACCAGAACCTGCAGTGACCTGTAGGGGGCAGCGAGGTCCACTCTGTCCTGGTCCACAACGAAACCAGAACCAGCAGTGACCTGTAGGGGGCAGCGAGGTCCTCTCTGTCCTGGTCCACAACGAAACCAGAACCAGCAGTGACCTGTAGGGGGCAGCGAGGTCCACTCTGTCCTGGTCCACAACGAAACCAGAACCAGCAGTGACCTGTAGGGGGCAGCGAGGTCCACTCTGTCCTGGTCCACAACGAAACCAGAACCAGCAGTGACCTGTAGGGGGCAGCGAGGTCCACTCTGTCCTGGTCCAGAAGGAAACAGTGATCTCTCTCTCTCTCTCTCTCTCTCTCTCTCTCTCTCTCTCTCTCTCTCTCTCTCTCTCTCTCTCTCTCTCTCTGTTCTCTAGTTCGCTCTCTGGTCTCTCTCTGGTCTCTCTCTGGTCTCTCTCTCTTTGGGGCGGCACGGTGGCTGAGTGGATAGCACTCTTGCCTCTCAGCAAGAAGGTCCTGGGTTCAAATCCCGGTCGGACCAGGGCCTTTCTGAGTGGAGTTTGCATGTTCTCCCCGTGTCTGCGTAGGTTTCCTCCGGGTACTCCGGTTTCCCCTACCACTAAAAATATGCACAATAGGTCTGGCATGCGCCTCCTGTTCGGCGACCCCGCTCCCATCTCTGTGTGGAGTGAGAGACAAGTGCCCAAAAAAAAATAATAACAATTGTAAACCGCTTTGTGACCCTTGTCTGTGAAAGGCGGTATATAAATAAACATTACTTACTTACTTACTTACTCTTTTGTCTCTCTCTACCCTCTCTCTCTTTCCTCTCTCTCACTCTCTCTGCTCTCTCTCTCTACCCTCTCTCTCTGGTCTATTTTGGACTGTTTTCCTCTTTTTAAAAGGTTCACTTTTCTCTCTCTCGCTTCTCTAACGTGTGATGACCATAGAGTGATGACGCTGCCTCTAACCCCCCACCCCCCCTCTCTCTCTCTCTCTCTCTCTCTCTCTCTCGCTTCTCTGAGTGATGACACTGCTTCTGACTCCTCCCCCTCTCTCTCTCTCTCTCTCTCTCTCTCTCTCCTCAGCCCTCTCCGCTCTCTCCCCGCCTGAGGACCCGTGTGCGAGGACCTCCTGTGGCCGTGGCAGGCAGTGCGTGGTCCTGGATTCGGGTCGGGCTCAGTGCGTGTGTCAGGACTCGTGCCGGTCCTCGTTCGTCCCGGTCTGTGGCTCCGATGGCAGTTTCTACGAGAACCACTGCCAGGTTTACCGCACGGCGTGCCGCGAGCGCCGCCGCATCTACGTGGTCCACGGCAAAGAGTGCTTCTTCAGAGGTGAGAGCGAAGTTTGACACTGTCTGTGGGGGAAGGGCTGCTCCATGGTCTCTCTCTGGTCTCTCTCTCTCTGGTCTATCTCTCTTGTCTCTCTCTGGCAGTGATGGGGAGGAGGAGGGTTGCTGCATGAAGGAAGGCTTGATGCACAATTGGCAGTGTGGATCTGAAGCTGTAGACCGAGGACTGAGACTGTAGACCCAGGACTGAGACTGTAGACCCAGGACTGAGGCTGTAGACCCAGGACTGAGGCTGTAGATCCAGGACTGAGACTGTAGACCCAGGACTGAGGCTGTAGACCCAGGACTGAGGCTGTAGACCCAGGACTGAGGCTGTAGACCCAGGACTGAGGCTGTAGACCCAGGACAGAGGCTGTAGACCCAGGACTGAGGCTGTAGACCCAGGACTGAGGCTGTAGACCCAGGACTAGGGTTGGGCACCGAGAACCGGTTCCTATTTGGAACCGGTTCCTAAAGTGCGGTTCCGGAACCGTTAAGAAGACGTTTGTATTTTGATTCTTTTTTCGATTCCTAAATGCCGGATGCGGCCCGCACAGCGGCGTCGGAAGCGTTTGGAAGGTGGGGGGGGGGGGGGACACGTTTCAAAAATGCTTAGCAGCTGTCCACCCAGCTTTGTGAAAAACTCAGTGAATTAAGCTCTTATGAGACGGCGCGCTCGTGTTTGCTCAGTATTTGCCACATTTAGCTTCAGCCACACACTCCTGCCATCGCAAAGAAACCTCTCAACGCTTGTATCTTCACATTTTCCACAAACGCAGATAAAACTGAGTCAAGGGGTAAAGGAAGCAAACATTTATCCGTCAAATGACTAATTCAGATATTATTTGGTTAAGTTAAGAGTCCAGACAGCGAGGTTTAACGGGCGTATTGACCGGTTGAACACTCGTGCTAGCCCGGTGCAGTTTCCCCAAACTCACGCTACATCAGTTTCATCACTCGCTTTACAAACACATCCAAAACTGATGTTCCTTACCTTAAAGTTACTGGTCAGGCCCTTTGTAATTATGAAGAAGGGAAACACGCTGTCCACCTGCCGAGGACCGCAAAAAGTCCTGCTCCTCCTCCATGTAATAATCCGTAAAAAACTCCGAAAACACGATGCACGAGCACGAGTCCTTGTGCTTTGGTCAAATCTGTCAGTCCGTCCAACGATAATCCTCCAGTATTCTCACTTTAGCCGTTTTTCAGCGGTTTACAGAGACGTGTTTACTTCTTCTTCTTCTGTCGATTATTGGCGGGTGGCAACCAGCAGCTTAGGTGCATACCGCCACCTACTGTACCGTGTGTGTCTCGGGAAGCTAGTTACTTCAGGTTACATTCTGATTGTGCATAGCTTTCCACCCCGGAGGGGGGCAAACCGAGACGTGTTTACATTTCAGCCGCTCTGAGATGATGGTGGGCGGTGCCACATAAACACCGCTTGTGTGTGTGTGTTCGTGTTCCTTGTTTTTTAATTTAATTTGTTTTTATGTAAAGCACTTTCTGTTGCCTTATGGCAGGAAAAGTACTTATGAAATAAAATTTGCTAAAAAAAAAAAAAAATATATCATTTTTTTTTCTCTCCTGCACCTCAAAGAATCGGAATCGAGAATCGTTTAGAACAGGAATCGATAGTGAGAATCGGAACCGGAATCGGAATCGGAAAATTGCAAACGATGCCCAACCCTAACCAGGACTGAGGCTGTAGACCCAGGGCTGAGGCTGTAGACCCAGGACAGAGGCTGTAGACCCAGGGCTGAGGCTGTAGACCCAGGGCTGAGGCTGTAGACCCAGGACAGAGGCTGTAGACCCAGGGCTGAGGCTGTAGACCCAGGACTGAGGCTGTAGACCCAGGACTGAGACTGTAGACCCAGGACTGAGGCTGTAGACCCAGGACTGAGGCTGTAGACCCAGGACTGAGGCTGTAGACCCAGGACTGAGGCTGTAGACCCAGGACTGAGGCTGTAGACCCAGGACTGAGGCTGTAGACCCAGGGCTGAGGCTGTAGACCCAGGGGTTACATAGTCCTTGTATAATTTAAATCCATATTTCCATAACTGTACATTTGAAGAATCATCAAGGCCAAAGATAAACTGAGAAATGTGTACTTTTTAAACTCTAAACATTTTATTTCTGTTAAATCCGAAACGACAAAAACAGCTTGAATTTTTTACGCTCCACAAATGTTTTTCTCAGACTGGAGTCTTTAGGAAACTCCTCTTCCCCACAGCCTTCGAACGCATCACAAATGTCAGAAATGTCTCTGTTAAAGTGAAGTGTGAAAGAGGATCCTCTGCAGACGCTGAGGGCGATTATGTACCATCTGGATTATTCTAATACCAGGGAGAGACCAGGGAGAGACCAGGGAGAGACCAGGGAGAGACCAGGGAGAGACCAGGGAGAGACCAGGGAGAGACCAGGGAGAGACCAGGGAGAGACCAGGGAGAGACCAGGGAGAGACCAGAGAGAGACCAGAGAGAGACCAGGGAGAGACCAGAGAGAGACCAGGGAGAGACCAGAGAGAGACCAGAGAGTGACCAGAGAGAGACCAGAGAGAGACCAGGGAGAGACCAGAGAGAGAGACCAGAAAGAGAGAGACCAGAAAGAGAGACCAGGGGGAGACCAAAGAGAGAGACTAGAGAGAGACCAGGGAGAGACCAAAGAGAGAGACCAGAAAGAGAGAGACCAGAAAGAGAGACCAGGGGGAGACCAAAGAGAGAGACTAGAGAGAGACCAGGGAGAGACCAGAGAGGGACCAGGGAGAGACCAGAGAGAGACCAGGGGGAGACCAGCGAGAGACCAGAGAGAGACCATGGAGATAACCTGTGGGGCTGAAGTAAGGATTTCTTCTCAGCCGCAGAAAAAGCTCCATATTTGAAAATGCACAAATATTCTCTTTGATGAAGCTCAAAAAGTCACTTTTTGACCCGGTTTGACTCGTACCAAGCTTTCATCATTTTGTTTCACATCAGGATGAAATGATGAAAAGGCAAAAATGTTTCTAGCAATTTCTGATGTAAAAGTCCGGAGCTCGAGTTTCAGTTTCCCTGTGCTCCTCAGAGTCCCAGCAGGAGTCCAGTCCCTGTGCTCCTCAGAGTCCCAGCAGGAGGCCAGTCCCTGTGCTCCTCAGAGTCCCAGCAGGAGTCCAGGCCCTGTGCTCCTCAGAGTCCCAGCAGGAGTCCAGTCCCTGTGCTCCTCAGAGTCCCAGCAGGAGGCCAGTCCCTGTGCTCCTCAGAGTCCCAGCAGGAGTCCAGTCCCTGTGCTCCTCAGAGTCCCAGCAGGAGTCCAGTCCCTGTGCTCCTCAGAGTCCCAGCAGGAGGCCAGTCCCTGTGCTCCTCAGAGTCCCAGCAGGAGTCCAGTCCCTGTGCTCCTCAGAGTCCCAGCAGGAGGCCAGTCCCTGTGCTCCTCAGAGTCCCAGCAGGAGTCCAGTCCCTGTGCTCCTCAGAGTCCCAGCAGGAGGCCAGTCCCTGTGCTCCTCAGAGTCCCAGCAGGAGTCCAGTCCCTGTGTTCCTCAGAGTCCCAGCAGGAGGCCAGTCCCTGTGCTCCTCAGAGTCCCAGCAGGAGGCCAGTCCCTGTGCTCCTCAGAGTCCAAGCAGGAGGCCAGTCCCTGTGCTCCTCAGAGTCCAAGCAGGAGGCCAGTCCCTGTGCTCCTCAGAGTCCCAGTTGGTTCATATGTCACTAACATGTCACAGATTTACTTTGGTAACACTAACCCAGCCCAGAGAGACATGAGATAAACCAGAGACCAGAGAGAGACCAGAGAGAGACCAGAGAGAGACCAGAGAGAGACCAGAGAGAGACCAGAGAGAGAAAGCAAAGAGAGACCAGTGAGAGACCATAGAGATCATAGAGATCATAAAAGACCAGAGTGATACCAGAGAAATACTAGAAAGAGAGACCAGAAAAATCTGATTTACAGGTTTGAAAATAAGTGATGGAAGATTTTAGCAACAGTGGAAGTGGGCGGGGCCAGGTTGTAGGTGACGCTGCAGAAGTGGGCGGGGCCAGGTTGTAGGTGAGGCTGCAGAAGTGGGCGGGGCCAGGGGGTAGGTGAGGCTGCAGAAGTGGGCGGGGCCAGGTTGTAGCTGAGCCTGCTGAAGTGGGCGGGGTCAGCGGGTAGGTGAAGCTGCAGATGTGGGCGGGGCCAGGTTGTAGGTGACGCTGCAGAAGTGGGCGGGGACAGGTTGTAGGTGAGGCTGCAGATGTGGGCGGGGCCAGGTTGTAGGTGACGCTGCAGATGTGGGCGGGGCCAGGTTGTAGGTGACGCTGCAGAAGTGGGCGGGGCCAGGTTGTAGGTGACGCTGCAGAAGTGGGCGTGGACAAGTTGTAGGTGATGCTGCAGAAGTGGGCGGGGCCAGGTTGTAGGTGACGCTGCAGAAGTGGGCGTGGACAAGTTGTAGGTGATGCTGCAGATATACCAGTAGCTGAGTGAACTTAGCTGAGTCCTCAAAAGCCTCTTCTGACCCAGTTGGGCTGGTGTTGACATGGAGGAGGCTGCGGGCGCTGGTCTGATCCCTCTTATGTGTCATGCACGGGAGGGAGAGGGGGTGAGGGAGAGGGAGGGAGCGAGCGGGAGAGGGGAGAGGGGAGGGGGGCTGGAGGGGACCGATCTCACACTCAGGATTATGTCAAGAGGACAGCAGCATCTCAACAGTCTGAGGATACACTTTGAAAACTGTGTATTTAGAGCTGGAAAAAACACCAGAGAGAGAGAGATCAGAGAGAGATCAGAGAGAGACCAGAGAGAGACCAGAGAGAAACCAGAGAGAGACCAGAAAAAGCTGATTTACAGAGGGGACAGAGGTCAGAAACACATGTGAAATCTAGTGATAGAGATATTGAGTCTGAATCTGGACCAGAGCCACAGGAGCTCAGGGACTCTGCCCTGGTACCAGCCCCTCGCGGACTATCAGAGGTATTAATAGTTCCCTCTGTGGTAAAGAAAAACAGCTTGGATTAATTACTGTAATTATCTTTTGTGCTGCTTTGTTATTCAGAATAAAATCAGATGCATTTCACAGGAGTTTATTACAGGAGTCTGTGGTTCTTTGTATCGGATCATTTGGACCTGAGAGAGATGAAAGAACCACTGTCTGTTCTGTGAGAGCCTCATTCACACTGAGCAAAAACCAACGACCTCCTCTGAGCAGCACGGGCTGGTGTGTCAAATCCACTCTGATGTTAACCCGCCTAGTGACGTGGGCGTGCTCTAGTCTCTCTCTGGTCTCTCTCTCTCACTGGTCTCTTTCTAGTCTCTCTCTGGTCCCTCTGGTCTCTCGTTATGGTCTCTCTCTCTCTCTGGTGTCTCCCTGGTCTCCCTCGCTGGTCTTACTCTTCTCTATAGTCTCTCTCTGCTCCTTCTCTCTCTGGTGTCTCTTCTATCTCTCTGGTCTCTCTCTTGTCTCTTTCTCTCACTGGTCTCTCTCTCTGGTCTCTCTCTTGTCTCTTTCTCTCACTAGTCTCTCTCTAGTCTCTTTCTTGTCTCTTTCTCTCACTGGTCTCTCTCTCTGGTCTCTCTCTTGTCTCTTTCTCTCACTGGTCTCTCTCTCTGGTCTCTCTCTCTGGTCTCTCTCTCTAGTCTCCCTGGTCTTATCAGTATCATAAACTGAGATTGTAGATCCAGATTACACAGTGAATGAAACATGGTGTAAGTCTCTCTGTGGCCTCCCCCTCCTCCCCCATTCTCCTCCCTCTGCTCTGTGTTGCCGCTCTGTACTTTGGGACAGGTTTTCTCACTGCAGCAGCCTGTATCTCGTGTATCTCGTGTTTTCTCGTTCTGTTTGTTCTGCTTCTGTGAGGTCTCAACTCACTGACGACATCTATAATTCACCGACTGAACAAAGAGAAGACAATACCATCAAGCACAGACGTCTCCTCTCTCTCTGCTCCATCTGGTCTCTCTCTCTCTGGTTTGGTCTCCCTTTCTGGTCTCTCTCTGTTTCTCTGTTCTGTCTCTTTCTTTGGCCTCTCTCTCTGGCCTCTCTCTCTGGTCTCTATCTGGTCCTTTCTACTCTCTCTGGTCTCTCTTTCTTATTAGTCCAAACCCAGGTTTTGTGGGAGGCCTCTGGTCCCCTCTCGGGTCTCCTGGTAACTCCTGGTGTCCCTTGGTCGCTCATGGTTCCACTGTGAGTCACAGAGAGATTGAGTCTGTGATGTCACACGGATCGTATACAGCTCAGAGTCACGGATCAAACGTTAGACACTTTTGTCAGTGATGAAAAATTCAGATTTTCTCTGATCGTTGCGAGAATCGAGACTCTGTAGAAATAGGCCACACACTCATTCATACAGTAATACCAGATTAATGTCACTTATACATGTTAGTGTTCAAAGACCAGAGAGGATAGACCAGAGAGAGACCAGAGCGAGACCAGAGCGAGACCAGAGAGAGACCAGAGAGAGACCAGAGAGAGACCAGAGAGAGACCAGAGAGAGACTAGAGAGTGGCCAGAGAGACACCAGAGAGAAACCAGAGAGAGACCAGAGAGAGACCAGAGAGAGACCAGAGAGAGACCAGAGAGAGACCAGAGAGAAGATAGGGAGAGATGGTGAGGCCAGAGAGAAACCAGAGAGAGACCAGAGAGAAGAGAGGGAGAGATGGGGAGGCCAGAGAGAGACCAGAGGAAAGACCAGAGAGAGACCAGAGAGAGACCAGAGAGTGGCCAGAGAGAGACCAGAGGGAAACCAGAGAAAGACCAGAGAAAGACCAGAGAGAGACCAGAGAGAGACCAGAGAGAGACCAGAGAGAGACCAGAGAGAGACCAGAGAGAGACCAGAGAGGAGGCCAGAGAGAGACCAGAGAGGAGGCCAGAGAGAGACCAGAGAGGAGGCCAGAGAGAGACCATAGAGAGACCATAGAGCACATGTGTCAAAGTCAAGGCCCACGGGCCACATCCGGCCCGCAAATGAATTTTACATGGCCCGTTGCCTGCCATTGACGCACTATAACGTCAATTGCGTTTTCCGCTATTTTCATGTTCCCAGATGTCTATTATATCTAATATGTTTGGGGATAAGCTTGAGAGCATATTGAATCAAGCCAGCAGGTGGCAGCAGCGCTCTCTGAATGGTTTGAAAACAGCTAGATGCACTTGTTGTGCCTCTTTTTTCTCAGCTTTTTGGTGATTTCAGTAAAACTTCCCTCTACTCAACTGGGGATTGGAAGCTAGAAACAAAATTATTTTTGCTGATGAAAGTAGACAGTCTATTCTTTCAGAATTTGGAACGATATGGGATTAGGGGTGTGGCTTTAAGTTGGATAAACAGCTATTTAAAACAAAGAACTCAGTTTGTGAAGTTAGGAGAACACTGCTCTACACAAGTGGACATGGTGTGTGGTCTGCCACAGGGGTCTGTGTTAGGACCAAAATTATTTATTCTGTTCATAAATGACTTGTGTAAAGTGTCTAGTTTGTTTAAAGCGGTCTTATTTGCAGATGACACAAATGTATTCTGTTGTGGAAATAATTTATCGAAATTAATTACTGATATTGAAAATGAGATGTTGAAACTTAAAATATGGTTTGACAATAATAAGCTATCTTTAAACTTAAACAAAACTAAATTAATGCTGTTTGGAAATGTCAATAAAGACAAACAGGTACATTTACAAATACAAGGAGTAAACATAGAGCATGTAAAGGAAACCAAATTTTTAGGAGTGATTATAGATGAAAAGATCAATTGGAAAGCACATATAAAATACATCCACAACAAAATATCCAAAAGTGTAGCAATACTCAACAAGGTCAAATGTGTTCTGGATCATCCCTCATTGCGCATGCTTTACTGTTCACTTGTTTTGCCATATTTCACATACTGTGCGGAAATATGGGGAAACAACTACACTTCTACAGTACAGCCTTTGGTCAATCTGCAAAAAAGAGCCATACGAGTTATCCACAATGCCAGCTATCGAGAACATACCAATCCACTATTTATTCATGCAAAACTACTCAAACTAAATGATTTAGTATCCTACCAAACTGCACAAGTCATGTATAAAGCTAAAAGAAAACAATTACCAGGAAGCATTCAAAGGCTTTATTGTGAAAGTGAAAGAATTTATAATTTAAGAGGAACATTTAATTTCAAAGTGCCTTATGCTAGAACAGCAAAGAAAAGTTTTTGTGTATCTGTATGCGGAGTAAAATTATGGAATCGTATGGAAGCTTGCTTAAAACTTTGCCATAATATTCATAATTTCAAAAAATTATTTAAAAGACAGTTATTTTGTAGATATCCAACAGAAGCATTGTAATATTTATATGAAGATTTGATTATTTTCTTGTGTGTTGTTGTTGGATAATCTTTAAGTCTTGAGGTAGTAAAGGGAAGTCGAAAGGTTTTTTTGTTGTGGTTTTGTTAAAAGTAGAAAAGGGGGCGGGGTTACATAAGTGTTTATACTTCTTCCTGCTCCCTTTCGGACATGATTGTTTATTTTATTTATTCCTTAAGGGGAAAAATTGTACATACATTGTACACATATAGGTTTTTTTTGTGTGTTTTTTGTTTGTTTGTATTTATTTATATTATTTTATATTGTCCGAATAAAGACTCATTATCATTATCATTATCAGAATCTGGTTTTGGATTTCAGATAGTCACAGTACACAATATTCTGTGGGTCTTGAAGAATCTATAAAAATCATCTGAAACTGCTGTTCTGAAAAAGGCTGGCAAGCAATGAGTTAATAAACATTGAACCAGTCCGGCCCTCGGCTCGCAGCAAATTTGTGTTTTTGGCCCTCTGATGTATTTGACTTTGACATGCCTGCCATAGAGAGACCAGGAAGAGACCAGAGAGAGACCATAGAGAGACCCGAGAGAGAGAGTGGCCCCGCCCTAAAACTGTAACGAACGATGCAGTAATTACCAAAGTGCTGTGAGTTCCCGGATCATGGCGGAGCACTTTGTCTCTCTCTAACAGGTGAAACAAAACGCACTCTTCCTGCTATTATTAATTAGCCTGTTTGTAATTAACTCCTATCGCTAACGACTCTCTGCGTATGCTAATGAGCAGCGCTAGCGTTAAGCTGTTATGATGGAGAGGCTGCTGCTGCTAACAATCAGGTCATTGTTAGCAGAGAGAGAGAGACCAGAGAGAGAGACCCGTGAGTGACTAGAGAGAGAGACCAGAGAGAGAGAGAGACCAAAGAGAGACCAGAGAGAGAACAGAGAGAGACCAGAGAGAGGCCATGGTCTCTCTCTGGTCTCTCCCTGGCCACTCTCTCTGGTCTCTCTCTCAGTCTCTGGTCTCTCTCAGTCTCTGGTCTCTCTCTGGTCTCTCTCTCTGGTCTCTCTCTCTGGTCTCTCTCTGGTCTCTCTCTGGTCCCTCTCTGGTCTCTCTCTCTGGTCTCTCTCTGGTCTCTCTCTGGTCTCTCTCTGGTCTCTCTCTCTGGTCTCTCTCTGGTCTCTCTCTCTGGTCTCTCTCTCAGTCTCTGGTCTCTCTCAGTCTCTGGTCTCTCTCTGGTCTCTCTCTGGTCT